CTGTGTGAAGAACATTTTTTATCACAGTTCTGGCTTGTACTGGGATATGTCCAGCTTGATAGCAACTCTGCACTTGGAGCGGAGAACAGAAATGGAGCATGGTATCTAGGCATTTGCAGTGTTGCGGCTTTGCTCAGTTTTAAACCATTTTTTCTGCCACAATAGGTTATCTGATATGTTTAAATCAATACGTCCAGGCAGTGTGTTATAAGCAAAATGCAAGGTATTGCTTTAAAGTCAAATTTGAGAAAAACCTTCTAAATGTTTATGTATTCTTATTTATACAACATATCTATTTTTTAAAACCCCTTTTAGATGTGTGTGTGTGTAGCAGGTTTTTGCGAGTTTCTCAATTTCAAAGTGACCGGAAACTCTGGCTGTCCCCATAGAAATAAATTTGACACCCTGAGTGTCCTCTCATTAACATACAGTGCTTTTAGATCTTTAACCCTTTGTTAGGACATTGTTCAAATCTAGTTTACAACATATAATGGGATCTGCCAGCACAGTACAGATGGGGTTAATTATGGTAAACAACCTGCCCAGCCCCAAAATTCAGTTTAGAGAAAGTATTTTCTTTTGGAAAGTTGTTCCAGTAAAGGTGCAGCTGTGTTGTCAATCTACAACCTCCCTGTTAACGCCTAACCTACATATGCACAAAGACTATGGGAGGGGGTGGATGCAGAAATAGTTTAAGGAACTTCTATCTTTCACTTACCAGTGGATCTGTTGCCTTCGGATCTGAACTGCAGCCAATATCTGTGTGCAGACCGAGGCACAGATTGGTTACCTCTCCCTAAGCAGCCAATCAATGCCTCTACCTGCTGTGGCTCAGAGCCAGAAGTAGCAATCGCCCAGGAAGCAGAAGATGGAAGTGACTAAAAGGCATACTGACCTCCAACCAGTTCTAGTGCTAGCTTATGTTAAGAGTTAGGATGAGGGTGAATGTGGGGACTTGCTTGCCAGAGGAACCCCTCAAGTGCTGTGTCAGCCACAATCTCCTTCATTATTTTGTCACCTCCACAGACATGTTTCAATGTACGTTTGCTATCTTAATTGCCCAGAATTACATAACTCTCACATGCACACAGGAGGTAATTCATCCCGTCACCAAGGCATGCCAAAATTCCACGCATGTGTGGCTCAGTGCACATTCGATAGAATCGCTGCTGGCACAGAGGAGAGAAGCTTTTACTGCAGGAGAAACATAGAGTTTATTCTGCAAGAAAAGCCAACCTTTCGGTTTTAACGTTGGTTCCATTTTAAGGTCTGCTTTAAATGACTGGTAGGGAGGCTTGGAAAGTGGGTGAAAACGGGGAAGGAAAATGCAGTTTGCATAGAACTTTCTGCTTGTTTGTCACATCATTAGCAATTTTTTTCATCATATGCTTACTTTGAGATGTACTTTAAGATCATTGGAAGTCGGTGGAAGCCATACTGTGTCTGTATATGGCTCCAACATTAACCACTAAGCCAGGCTGAAGAGTAGAAGCCACCTCCTAATTTTTCTGCATGCTGGTGACTATCACTGATGCACTGTTTTTTTTCCATTGAAGTGATAGTAAGTCTCTGACCTGGAAGAAGTAAGTACATATCGGGTGTCGTAACACTTCACTGGCTAAATGCTTGGCCTCGGTCACCAACTAACGAGGCGAGGATAAGCAAGTCAGCCCTAGAAGATTTTTTAGAACAGGTTCGGAATAGTAGCTGTCTTCTTTTCATCCTGAGCTCGTGTTTCTGTAGTGGGCTTGTGGATCATCATTGTTTATTGTCCTTTGAGTACTTGGCAAGTTCTCTGTGTAAGTAGCGTGCCCAAAGATAGGAGGCAATAGTGTTTCTTGTCTGCTCATCATCACCAAACTGCTATCGCTACATTTTCGTTTGCATTTTGTAAAATGCTTTTGTTATTTAGCAGAGTATGTAAAGCATTTCATCTAGGTTTCATACATGCTTAACTACGACTTAGATCTGCAAGCTGATTAGGCTGCAGAGCTCTGAAATAGCCCTGACTGCAGAGCTCATTGTATATACAGCCTTACAGCTGGCTGCTAATACTGTATCTTGTAACTGGCAGAAAGGCTGACATTGAGAGAATTAGATTGAACAGTTTTTCAGCTTTCTGTTCTTTTATCCAGATTATGTTCTTTCTTACTGTTAGGTTGTTGTTTGTTTGGTTTTTTTCTTGCATCTCTTCACTGATGAGTAGCGGATGTGTAAACACTTTACTGCATGTGTGTGACTAATCTTATGCTAAACGGCAATCACGGCTACAGAAATCTCCTTTTTAGTTTGGATGTTGATAAGCTTGTAGATTAGGAACACCCAACATTTTCCAATGAGTCTGTTATACCAGAAATTCTGTATCTGAAAACATGTGGAGTGATTATTGTATACTGCGTTAGTGTGTATATACCTGTATGGTGAATGATTAATGCTTTCCAGTCAGAGGTCGAGCTATGATCACACAAGAGCTTTTCATGCCTGCATTTCTGTCAAAGGAGAGGATTTTCTTTCCCGAAAATGCATGTTTGATGGGACCAGAACAGTATTTAATAATGGTAATCTAGCATTTTGTAATGTCTGCTGCTAATCAGGACTTTTAATTCTGAAAAGTTTGAAATGTTGTACAGGTTTACTTTAAAGTCCAAATCCAGCCAAAACTTTATTTTGTTTTTGGCACAGCAGAAAAGGGTTAAAACCTCCCAAGTTTTTATTACGGTCTTGCACCTAGGAAGTAGACTTCCCCTTCAATCATGTCAAGACAGGAAATGATGAGAAATCCATCGGTGTCGCAGACAAAACGCATATTGGTAGAGTGGGAAAGGGAAACCGAAATGTCAACTCTTCTCCAACCGATCCAAAACCATAAAGTAAACATTTGGTTCAAGTTGGGTTATAAATGAAAATCACATCATCTCAATCACCTCCTCTGTCCATGGAAGCCTTTGGAAAACAATGTGATTCAAGTAGATGTCTGGGCAATACTATATTATTGCATTGTGCTTGTAATGTGCACCATCTTATATGATGAATACATTAGTCTGCGGTATTCTTTTGGAGGACTAAAACTTGTCTGGGAATAATGGTACTTTCTCCTCCTTTCGTGGCACCATGTAAAGGTGACAATTTTGTGTCTCGAGATTTCTCTTGGACAGGACTGGAAAGTGTTTGGAGCTCACTGAAGTGGATACACTATGGAGGTGTTTCCTTGCAGTGGTGGGAACACACCTTTCCATCCAGCCATCTACTGCAATGGACAGCTCTACTCTTATATGCCAAGGAGAGTGTGTGATAGAGGGAGGCTATAGCTATCCAACATCCCCCCCCAGTCACTGTCTTTAATAGAATTCTTGACAACGAAAGTGTCTTGCATTATTCTGATCAGCATTCTTTAAAAATACAAAGTTACAATAGAATGTTTTTAGGTATTTAGTAAACTTTTCACCTAGACTGGTGCCATGGCTAGGTTTGCGTGGCTTGTTATCTGTTGCACAGTGACATCTACTGTCAAATACCACTGACTTGTAAAGTGCTTGTGTGATCCTGTCTGTAGCCTAGAAATATATTACTGACACCTAACATGTATTTAATCTTTTCTGTTGTCAGTGGAAACCTAGAACTGATACAAATGAAAACTCACATAGCGCCCACTTTGTCTGGAATCCCTAATGTGTGTGTGTGTGTTTGTTTTTTTTTGTTTATTTTTACAGAGCTAGAAGAACAAACTAGAAAAGCTTTAGAGTTGGAACAGGAAAGAAAACGAGCAATAGAAGAATCCGAGCGCCTGGAGAAAGAGCGACGGTCTGCAGAAGAAGCCAAGGCAGCACTGGCCAAGCAAGCTGCAGACCAGATGAAAAACCAGGAGCAGCTGGTGAGGAAGTGCACAGAGAAGGCAGGAGTTTATAGATGACAGTTACTGATTTATATGGATTAAGTCTAAAATCACAGGGGTTTCACTTTAGTAAATAGAGTTTGTTGATTTACTTTTGCTGGGGAAATCTTTGGCTGAATTTTTGTTTAGTGAAGTTGACACTCACAGGTTAAAGAAGCACTCTAGGCAGAACGCAAAATCCTTTATAAGCATACAATGTAAGCTGCACCTTTCTTGCATCATCTTTTGTATACACTGCATTGGAGCAGGAATAGAAATCTGTACCCCTGTATTCTTCCAACAATAATCCCTGTGCCTTGGTTTTCAGAATCAAGAACCCTGCACTGGAAGTTTTTAGTGTAAGGCTTTCGACCCCAAAAACAAGTAAACAAAATAATTAAAGAACAACAACAAAACCCCCAAATGTCATTACACCTAACTATTGTGCTGACCCTAACTCATAACCAAACACTAACCTGACCCTTTTTTAGTCCTCATTTTTAACCTAAACACTTAAATCTAAATACCTAACCCTTAAATCTTCACCTAAACCAAATAATCTCCTGCAGATCCATACTTGCCTTCTCCTGCATCAAACACTCCTGGTCCTTTACCAAAAGCAACATAAACCAAGATGAGAGTGCTGAAAACCACTGATAAACTAGCAATAAATTAAACATTGCTCGTTCCCTTACTTATTCTACTCAAGAAAACAAACTACCCTACACTAACCTAGTAATGAGTTTTTGGCCGCTTGCACATGAAAAAGAACAGCCTTGGCTTTTTAAAGAGGGGAATGAAGAGAGGTCCTTTTCTCTGTAATCTATCAAATGACAGAGGAAGGGCTGACAACATGGCTTTTGGAATTCAGAGCAAATACACTGTGTTATGTCAAACAGGGTGTTAGGAACACACTACATTTCGGGTATATTACCCGTTATTTTTCTGCACTTACAGTGTGCTTAAAGGGATAAAACATGGGAAAGTGGACATGTATTGCAGAGATGTATAAATGTTTTATTTTCCCTTGACATGAGCTTTAAACTCTGAACACTTCGTGCAACACTTGAAATAAACACCTGAGGTTTCCAGACTTGGTATGGGTATAATGGTACTATACCTAACTGATTGTGCTTCGAGTTGCTCACTCCTAAGGGCTTTGTTCCCACTATCAGCCACACTCAACTGCCCAGCTGCTGCTACGTGTGCCCGGCACAGTGCTGTTGCACTTGATCGAGACGCATCGCACATTTTGTTTTTTTGTTGAACCATCACAAGTGAATTTCATTACCTTCTATGGGCACACCACGGTGAAATGCGGTTGTATTGCATCTCACTTCAATGCACTTAAAAAAACAAAGTACTGCATGCTGTACTTCTTTTTTTTTTTTTTTAAAGCACACCACCGCAATGTGTGAACTGTGCCCACTTGTGACGCGGCAAATTGCTTTGTCTTGCGTTCAGGCTGCGCAGCCCGAGCGCATTGGGTGTGAATGGCCTCTAAAAGAGTGGTTTTTGTGGCAGCCCGCTCCTTTCAAGCGCAGTCTTTCTCTCCTCTTTCAAATGCTAGCTTAGAATATATAAATCCAATCTTGGTGGGAGTAAATTTTCAGTTATGTCTTTGACTTAAGCTATGCTTGAGTGCTGGATCTGGACCACAGGCAGCTGCAGCTTATGGTAATGTCTATGGTAGAATATTTTTCAAGTGTAGTGTTTGTTACAGTGAAGGGTTATGGGTGTTCACCTTACTGAAGTGTTTAATGCTGATACTTTTCTGTTCACTGTAGGCTGCTGAACTTGCAGAGTTTACTGCCAAGATTGCTTTACTTGAAGACGCAAAGAAGAAGAAGGAAGAGGAAGCTTCGGAGTGGCAACAAAAAGTAATCTCCCTTTCTAAATTTCTTATTTGTATGCATTTAATACTCTTTTTGGTTGATTGCAACAACTCAGGGCATAGAATCACACTGAGCCTATTTTTTAATCAGTGATTTCTATGTAGATTCCAACCTGCCAGTTATACACTATGTAAAATGTATGTGTTTTAGCACTTGGAGAGCTTATCTGGTGCTGCCAGCAATCCCTAATTGATGGCATTGTGTTGGGCTTTAAAGAAGACTCTGGGCAAAAGTTTTCTTAACCCTTGCAGTGGGGCTACCCCCCCGCACTGCAAGGATTTACTGCTCGTTTTTGATAGGTGCTAACAAAAAAAACAAAACACTCAGCTAGCTTTCTGCTTCTCTGGTCTCTGAAACCTCTCAGACTCCTATGCTGCAGCATTGAAATGTTGCTCATTGTCCTCACCTCTACACACAGTGTATAGAACGTGATGAATTATGGGACCTAATACCGCTGCAGCAGAGGGGGTGAGAGGCTCTCGGGACCAGTCTAAGATCGAGCCGGCTCCACGGTTCAGGCAAGTATAACTTACCACTGCAAGGGTAAATAAAAGTTTTTCCCGGAGTTGTTCTTTAAGGGACATTTGAGAATAACAATATGGGAGCTGCAATTCCTGACTTATTTTTTTTTTTAAAGGTGCGGGCCACATGCCTGTCATCCTCCATCCTAGTTTACCTGATGAGCCACACTTACTTGGAATAGGCATGCAGAACATCATTGGCTGCATACTTACAGTAGATGAAAACCCAATTACTAAAATATCATAGCATCTTTATTATGTAAATGTAATTCCAAAAGTCATTTTTAATCCCTTGAATATTTCATAAAAAATTACGTGTTTCATTAAATTATACCCGATGGCCATGTCATGAAGGTCCTTTTTTGGGCACTTCCTGTTTTATATGGTGACAACGCTCTGTATCAGTCTCCCAGTTGTTTCCTGCTGCAAGTGGTTGCGTCGAGACATATTTTGCAGGTATGTTCTGCCATTGTACCCATTAAGAAGCCTATCCAGAAAAAGGACATACAGCTGTTTTTGGAGTACACTTGTGCTCATAAGTTTACATACCCTGACAGAATTTGATTTCCTGGCCATTTTTCAGAGAATATGAATGATAACACGAAAACCTTTCGGTCACTCCTGGGTAGTGTTTGGCTGAAGCCATTTATTATCAATCAATTGTGTTTACTCTTTTTCAATCATAATGACAACAGAAACTACCCAAATGACCCTGATCAAAAGTTTACATATCCCAGTTCTTAATACGGTGTGTTGCCCCCTTTAACATCAATGACAGCTTGAAGTCTTTTGTGGATGTGTGGATGAGGCTCTTTATCTTCTCAGATGGTAAAGCTGCCCATTCTTCCTCCAGGTCCTGTACATTCTTGGGCTGTCTTGCATGAACTGCACGTTTGAGATCTCCCCAGAGTGGCCCAATGATATTAAGGTCAGGAGACTGAGATGGCCACTCCAGAACCTTCACTTTATTCTGCTGTAGCCAATGACAGGTCGACTTGGCCTTGTGTTTAGGATCATTGTCATGTTGGAATGTCCAAGTACGTCCCATGCGCAGCTTCCGGGCTGATGCATGCAAATTGTCAATGTTTTCAGAGTGTCCTGTATTTCACCTGAAGTTATATGTGGGTTTTTCTTTGCATCCCGAACAATTTTCCTGGCAGTTGTGGCTGACGGTTTAGTTGGTCTACCTGACCGTGGTTTGGTTTCAACAGAACCCCTCATGTTCCACTTCGTGATTAGAGTTTGAACACTGCTGATTGGCATTCTCAATTCCTCGGATATCTTTTTATATCCTTTTCCTGTTCTATATAGTTCAACTACCTTTTCCCGCAGGTCCTTTTGACAATTCTTTTGCTTTCCCCATGACTCAGAATCCAGACACGTCAGTGCAGCATTGAATGAAGGATGCAAGGGTCTGTCGGGAGGCCAGAAACTCATTGGCCTTTTATACACACACACTGATTACATGCACATCACAGGTGAGGATGGTTCCCTTTAATAGCCATTCACACCCCTTTGTGTCAACCTGTGTGCATGTTATCAGGCCAAAATCACCAGGGTATGTAAACTTTTGATCAGGCTTATTTGGGTAGTTTCTGTTGTCATTATGATTGAATAAGATTGATAATAAATGGCTTCAGCCAAACACTACCCATGAGTGACAGGTTTTCGTGTTATCATTCATATTCTCTGAAAAATGGCCAGGAAATCATAAATTCTGCCAGGGTATGCAAACTTATGAGCACAAGTGTATATGCATAAAGACAGGGAGTAGCTGCAAAGGGATTAGTAAAAAAGTGAAAATGTTATTTTTTAAAAGAAAAAAAACCCAAAACATACTAGTTGTTTATCAAATGAGCCTGCAGAGGCTAACTTCCCTGCATTGCAAACCAGAAAGGAAAGGGATTGTCTGATCACCATGTATATATAAAAAAGCATTAGGGTTGATGTTCATTACAGCTATACCCAAAACAACAAATGAAGCCCTGACCAAAGCAAGCTAGAGAGGTGTTCAGCAGTGATACCCAAATTATTATTGATGCCCATCTCTTTGTACAGTTTAGTCTTTTTCAGAACATATGAACATGAAAAGTCGCTATCAGGACTGAAATTGTTTTGTATGATTAAATCCAGGAAACCTACACTGAGAGAAATAAAGACCCCCTGCTGCTGACCTGAAAGTTCTAGTTGAACTGACCTGAAAAAAGCACGCAAATGAAGTCTGTTAAAGTGTAGTTCCACTTTTGTAGTCAAATTGGGACAACATATACATTTATATTTGTGATATGTTCATATTCACATTGCTTAAGATATAAAAAAAAAAAAAAGTTGGCTACATTTCAAGTGCTTTTTACTTGCCTAAGAATCATACTTTGCTTCTCCCTATGTAATGTTACGGAGGGGGGAGGGGGGGGTGTTAATGTTTACTCTAATTAACCCTATATGGCAGACTTTCATTATCAGTTTTAAACTATAGTTGAACACTGTCCTAACAAAGGGTTGAAGCCTTCACGGGATTGTGTGTTCATGAGAGGAAGTTGAGTCTGACACTATAGTTTCACACTCAGCCTATTCAGAGTAGCTTGGAATCTGCACAAAAGCCTGCACCAAAGAGACATCTAAAAGGTGTCACAATAAAAATCATTATTACATATGCAGTGTGAATAAGAACACAGAACAAACATATAGTGGGGTTTTCTGAAATTTCACGGCAAAAGTGAAACTACACTATGCCGGGACTAGTAAAGGCAATGTCAGGTTGGGAAGTGGTAGATGTTTGGTTAATGGGTCTTCTCATTACTGCACCCTCTGTCAGTCTCTGCACTGGCTTCCTGTTTCTTTTAGGATAAACTTCAAACTCCTCAGCCTTACCTACAAAGCTCTGCATAACTGCGCACCGGCTTGCATTTCATCCCTAATTAGAAGATGTACTCCAAATCGGCCCCTTCGTTCCATTAATGACCTGACCTGAGACTATCCTGCTCACTCACCTGCACACCCAACTCTTGTCTACAGGACCTCACCAGGGCTGCCCCTACCTTATGGAATTCTCTCCCACGCCACATCAGGCTCTCACCATCCCTACAGGGCTTTAAAAAATCCCCCAAAACGCACTTCAGAGAAGCGTACCAGCTCTTCCCTTGTTTTCTCACCCTATACACCCTTCCCTTCTGCTCCCATTTCCTAGTACTCTCGAATCCCTCCCATTTTATTTGGTATACATCTGTAGTCTACCCTTCCCACCCCTGTCTCTTTGGTCCCCTTCATCTTAGACTGTAAGCACGTTTTGGCAGGGTCCTCCTCACCTACTGTTTCTGTATGTCAATGATACTTGTCAGTGTTTCTTACTGTTCTAACGATTGTACAGCGCTGCGGAATATGTTGGTGCTATATAAATGATTACAATTGTTCTAAATTTTCCCCACTCTATAGAAGAAAAAAAAAAAGTGGCTGAAGTTCATTGTGCTGCAGAAAAGCAAACTATGACAGGACCTGATCACACATGGTCATATTTGATCATTCCAATTAGCCGCACACATCATTTCTATTCTTCACTCACAATACACACGGTGGGGTTATAACGGTTAACCATCTCTTTCATTTTGATTGGCTTGACAACCTTCTTTTCAATTAGCGCCTTTCACCTAGTCTCATTCGGCTGAACAAAAGATCATTTTCTTCCCAGTATGTTCCAAGATTATATAACAGTGTTTATAAACTCATTAGATGGACGTGGGGGTGTTTGAAATCCGTAAGGTTTAAAGGACAACTATAAGGTGAGTGAAGTGTTACACTCATCCTCATAGTTAGAGCCGACGGGTGATACTGAAACTGTCACACGTCGGCTCTATTGATCGGGGAGTGAATAACAACATACTGTTGCTTGCACACTTTCCGATCATCTCCCTGCAGGCAGTGGTGACTTTTAGTCACCACTCCCAGCAGGGATTCCCCTCTCCGATCTTACAGCACTGACTGGAGGAACAGACGGGGGAAGGGGCGGGCATTGCTAGCTCTGTCTCTAGATAGGAAGAGCCAGCTTTCAATCAGCCAGTGGGGTGAATCAACAGTATTATCGGGATGCTTTCAGTATATAGCGGGCAATAGCCCTGCCATATACTGACTTTTGGGTCACAGGAGGGCATTGGTACCCCAAAGAAAACTATGGGGAAAAAAAGGTTATCCCATATTTCTCTTTTAAAGTTAAGTTATTCAGATAAAAACAGAGTTTGGTTTCTTTATACCAAAATACTGTGTTGTCACTTTCTTCATCATTTTCTGCATACCCTGATGATTAGATGATGCTTAGCAGATGGAGCCTGTAAGGCTTCCTAAAGGTCCCCACACACCCAACGATAATCGTACGATATCACGCGATCGTACGATTATCGTAAGGTGTGTGGAAGCCGTGCGACCTCTACTACTGTAAGGTCGCACGACTTTAAACTTACGGACATGTTCGAAAACCCGCCGAGCATCGTACGATGTTCGGCGGGTTTGTGGCACGTCCGTACGATAAAAGCCATACGGGCCGGTGTGTGCAAGCGCACACTGCCCGTTCGGCATTGCGGTCATCGGAAGCCCGTCCCTCAGGGGGCGTGGCTTGCTATCATCGCAAGTACGATCTGCCTATGCAAGATAGGCAGATTGTACGTTTTTTAAGTACCTTACAACCATCGCAAGACAAAAGTCTTGCGATGATTGTAAGGTGTGTGCCCAGCCTTAGACTCATCACTGGGTCCAGCACTGTGGAGGATGGCTCTACTGGGAAGATTACAGACTGGCATGATTCAAAGTGAAAAAGGCAGATCATGTGACAATTGCTCTGTAATTGGGGTGAAAATAATCGTATTGGGAGATTGGCTTCACAAATGATTGAGCAGGCTAAAAAAAAAATCTGATTTTCTCTGATAACTGAATGCACGTGAGTCGAGTTCTCCATCTCCTCATAAGCTGCAATGTTTAGATTGTTTTGTATGCACGTATTAATGGGTTTGTCCATTTATGAAAAATCAGATTGCTCTATGACTGGCCAGCTTTAGAAATATGAACAGATTTGTCATCTTGTTACATTGACTGAAGTCCTCCCTCTGCATAGCCAAATATTTTCAGATGTCAAGAAGTGCACAACATTCTTGTTGATCTTGCCATCAAATCTCATCAGCCAGTAGCTTGTGCTCTGTCTCTGCTGACTGTACTTATTTAGTCAGTCTGTTTTGTCTGTGGACTTCAGAAAACCTCTCCTATGATATCTAGAGGAGGGGGGTTCTGTAGTCCTAACACATTTCTCGTGCTAGGGTGACAATGCTGCTTCACAGTAGATACAGTATAGAAGGAATTGTTGCCAGCCTAGGACAGGAATTTTTGTCGGGACCACCAGGTGAAAATAAAAGGGCTAAAAAAAAGAACTAATGGAACCTGTAAGGACCGTTAAGCTGTGGTAGGCTAAATTTTTGTTCAGATTAAGATGCACTAAAAAACTAGGACAGTTTTAAGCTCTGGACCAATATACCCAAATTGACCTCTAATAAACCCAGCCACAGAGGTATATGAAATCGTACCCATCGCCCAACAAACCTTGCCCAATTTCCTGCCCCAAATATTGGAGCTGCCCTCTCATATAGGGGCCTTCAGAATGTGTGCAGCTGTTATAATTCACAACTATAGCATGTCATTCTACCATTTTTCATTGCATTTTTTTATTCCAGTCTGAAATACTGTATCTTCACCATCCATGTAATCTACCCAAAAAAATAAGGTGCATCAGTATTTATCTGGCATGTAGACGAAGCTGCCTCCAATACGTTTCCAGCATTTCAGGTCAGTGTGACCCTTTCTCTGGCTTGGAATCACATAACGTTACAATACAATTCCAGTCTTGAGAAAGGTCAGATTGACCCAAAATATTACAAATTTGTTTGGCGCTGTTTCAGCTACATGCCAGAAAGATTCAATTGCATCTTCTTATTGTGGTGGGTTATATGAACACTGCTGATATTTCAGACAAGAATGGAAATGCTATAAATGTAGTCTTCTGTGGTGACCTCCTTAGCATGTAAAGTGGTAGTTCCTTGATGTGCCTGATAGGTGAAATGGCAAATGCACGAGGCAATACAGTTCAAGGTGTTGCTGCTGTTATTATGTATTACTGGATATTAAATCTGTGACTTTCTAACTCCTGTGCCAGCATGCACTTCTTAGGCCCCATTACACTGAGCGATTTTTGCAGCGATATCGCTCATATTTCCACGCAATATCGCTCTATGTAGCTTCTCCAATCCATTTCAATGGAGTTGTTCACATCTCGTCGCTCAATATCGCTTGTAGCTCCTACATGACCCTTTTTTCGAGAGATTTTGCTCCTGATTGCATACAGCCCAATAGGAAAAAGTCGCTCAATATCGCAAGTCGCTCAGTGTGAATGGGGCCTAAAAAGAGGCATGCCTAATAAAAAAAAAAAAAAAAAGAGGTAATATTTCTATCTCCTCAAGGACAGTGAACTTGTTTACAACCAAAGACTTTGCAAACAATAGACTTCCAATACATTATTCAGTCTATCCCTCTACAATTGTTACAGCCTTGACCTCACACGTTGTATTTCTGTGATTTGTATAGCGTATTATATTGATGCAGAACCTGGCACTTACTCTTTTCTTTCAGGCATATTCAGCACAGGAAGATCTAGAAAAAACCAAAGAAGAATTAAAATACGTAATGTCTGTCCCACCACCTCCCCCACCCCCACTACCTCCACCGCCAGCAGCACCCGCGGAGAACGAACACGAGCATGACGAACAGGACGAAAACAGTGCTGAGGCCAGCGCAGAACTGGCCAATGATGGTGTGATGAACCATCGCAGTGAAGAGGAAAGGCTGACGGAGACGCAAAAGAATGAGCGAGTAAAGAAGCAGCTTCAGGTAAGTTGTACTTTTGTTTTACATTTTTTTTTTTCCCCAGTCACATTTTTTTGTCTGTCTGTTGAAAGACATATTGGGGGCATTTCTATAACTAGCACAGTCTGGTAAATTTTGCACTATTTTGCCTTTTTTTTATATTTTTGTTTCTCCAAAGTTGGAGGAAATTTGGTACTGTAGGTAAATGACAGGTTGAAATACATATGTAATTGAATACTGCACTGCCAGGAGCCATTTGTTACATAGTCAAATATATATTATATATGTTAGAAAATCTTCCAGTTTTCCAAAAGTGCTGAAAAGTTGCTGAAACACAAGGTGAAGCCCCAACAACATAACGCGAGGCACCTAGATTGCATTATGAAACATGCTGGGGCATCCCTCTGCAACAATTGTACTGAATCATTGAATTGGTATAATGCTGCCCTGGGTTTCTTTAGTTGCCATGTCCCAATGCAGTGACTGATCCTCTAGCAAAGTATATTGTTTGGCATGCTTCTTTCAACCTGGTTCACCCTAGGTTTGCTTTAAAGCGCAATTGAAGTCTGATGTTGAAGTTTACTTCAGCTCTGCTGTTCTCATCTTTTGCAAGATTTTTCTGCTCTCTTAGGGAGGAATCTTGTTGCATCAAGACAGGTAGTGCGGATCCTGTCCTAGGTAGGACTTCACATTTTCGCTTTTTTCCCAGGTATGCACAATTGACAGGTGGCCTTTTCAGCCAGCAGCCCCTGGAACCGGGAGAGTGGTCATGGAACCTCTCTGGGTGTAGGAATCAATGTTGCTGGTGGGGATGGCAAATGTGGATCTTCTTTCATCCAAGTTCAAACACACACTGGACAGGTTGTTCTCCAGGTACAGGGTCCCTCTAGTACAGGGGCGCCCACAATTTTTAGCTCTGAGATCTTTTTTTCAAATGACAAGCTCAATGAGATCTACCAATGAAAAAACACCTGCATTCGCCCGCACCCGGAACGCGTGGGGGGGGGGGGGGGGGGGGTGTGTTGGAGGGGGGAAAAAAAAAAGGGGGGGGGGGGGGTTGGTTGTCATTCGGACGGAGCAGCATGTGCGTTGAGAGAGAGCCACCGGCTGTCAGATCCAGGCCGAGCGGCTCTCTCTCTCCTCACCGCTCGGTGGAATAGGTGGAATCGGTACACACTGATCCTGAAACTACTTCCTTATCTTGCTTTGCAGTATCCAGATAGAGGGCACTACAGTAATCCTCATTGTTCTATGGTATGCTGACCTGTTAAGACTCCTGGTAGCCGTTGTGTCAGATCCTCATGATCTTCTGTCCCAAGGACTATTTTGTCACGCTACTTCATGATCATGGGCTTTATCGGCTTGGTTTTTGAAGCCCTGGTTTTTCTTAAGTCCAGAGCTCTGTAAATTTCTATTTCTTACAATGCTCCCAGCTAGAAAGGCTACTTCCCTTAAGGTCTATCATTGGACACGGAAGACATAATTTAATTTCAGTCTCGTCGGCGTCTAACCTATGAATTTCTCCCTGGGATGAATCCTCTCCTTCCTGCGGCTGGGTCTGGACCAGCATTTTGTTCTTAGCACCTTAAAAAAGCAAGATTTCTGTCTGCTTTGTCTTGTTTCAGACACCTTTCTTTTACTCATTGATTTAGGCTTTGTACAAAGAGTCTCCTAAGGAGCTTCACCTGTTAGTTCCCCTGTGACTCCGTGGGATCTGATTTGCATTCTCTCTGTGCATTAAGACCAACCCACCCATAGGAGACATTTCTTTTCTCTGCTGTCACCCACAAGCTGGTTTTTCTTGTAACAGTCGCCTCGGACGTGCAAGTGTCTGAACTGGCAGTCTTATCCTGCAAATGACCCCTTCTGGTCTTGCACAGTGACAACATGGTGTTGAGTTCTAAGACTTTGTTCTTGCAAAGGAGTCACTATCTTTCACCTCAACTAGGACATGCTCTTCGTCTCTCTGTCCAGCTCCGGAAAACCGAAAGGAAATTTCCCTTCATTGTCTGAATGTGATTTGGGTTATGAGTTTATGAAAAATGTTTTTTTCAGCCACTGCTTAAGCAACGCTGCTTTAGTTTTTTCTTGTTTTCTTTGGCCTGTTAGCCTTTGTTGCTGTCTTGCCCACCCCTTTGCTGGACCTCTTTGGGACATTCACACGGCCTAAGAATTGTGTTTGGATTTTTGTACTTGCTGTAAAAATTGTTTTTTTGGAGTCAATTTAGGGACACAGGTCCCTACTTCCTGTGTGCATTTCTTGCTCTCCCTATTACTTGCTTACTAAACTGTGTATAGTGTTTGTGGACAGGGTTATCCTGTGCTGGCCCACAGCTTTTTTTTTTGTTGCCATTCTTCAATTTTCCTGTAGGCAGCAATGTAACCTGACAGTCTAAGAATTCTTGCGTCTAGTCTTCTGTGACTATATGTATGGGGTATAGCAGTGAACCTCTCTTTGCAGTCGGCCACCGGGCTCTGAAGATTTTACAATCTGTAGTAATACATTTATCTATATATGTTTGTTTTTCCTCAGCCTTTAGTTATCTCATGAATTTTAAATTAGACTCCAATTGTGCTTTAAGCAGCAAGGTGAATCATTTACATTGTATATATTTATTTAAAGGCAGACATTTCTTTTGAGTTGCATTTAAAATTGTAATATTGTCATGCAGATGATTACCAGCTCATATATAGCAGTAACATCATGTGTTAAATGTGTCATCGTTACCTGCTTCAGCTTTTACCTGCCTGCCACTTAATCTCCCTACAGTTCTGATCCAGTCTTGTTTGCTTTTACTTGAATGCATGTGTTGTGTTTGTATGTGTTACCCATCCAGTAAAGGTTCCAGTCTGCTCATAGATGTATTCCTGCTCAGATTGCTTGGTAGAGATGGGCAGATTACTATTCTGCCCACAGATTGATAAGTCTAAAGCCCCATTCACACCTAGGCCCTTTGTCACAAGCTGCAACATATAGTAAAGTTAAAGCGCTGTGCTCGGATCCTGATGATTAAGTAAAAACAACTAGGGGTGCTACCCCACTTCAGCCGGGAGAAACTAAAACTGGAATACAAAAAAGGACAGAAGGGCGCCCAACCTAGTGCAGATTATTTTTTATTTTAAAAGACACAAAGATAAAATTGCAATGGTACTCACAATGGAGGGTCATAAAACAGCTTGTGTGGATGTTTTGGAAGAAACAGCAGTTGAGACTGCAATCTGCCTGTGTGCCACTGTAGTGTGGCGGCGTTGACGCGTTTCCGGGGCCAAGCCCCCTTCCTCAGAACGTGACCTCAACTAGGTCACGTTCTGAGGAAGGGGGCTTGAGGTCACGTTCTGAGGAAGGGGGCTTGACACACATACATTAAGTTGAATGTTTTTACGAGCAGATTGTAAATGGGTAAATGCGCAGAAAACACGCAAGAATAATTGTGTTTCCTATTGAGTCTATGGGGACAAATTGCACTGTAAACTGCCAAAAAGCTCATGTACTTTTTCAAGCAACAGCCATTTTTCTAAGCGCGACGCTACGCTCAGGTGTGAACGGGGGCTATAGAAATAAATGGGATTTGTTGTTTCAGTGTGCACAGAAACGTGCAAAAAAACGCCAAGGTGTGAACTGCTGCCGACAACATCCTTTCATTTTTATAATTGGACCATTTCAACTTTGAGCATAAAGAGTTATCTCATTACCAACATTAAGCCATGTACATAAGGGCATCGATTTTTGTAAAAGGGCAGTGTGCACAGCTTACTTTTAACCCTTTCGCTGCCAAGGACGTACGTCGTACGGAGCTACAAAAGTGCTTCCAGCTGGCCAGCTCAGTACGTCGTACATGCAAAGCTTTTAGCTAGCTTTGAGCAGTTATTTGAAGCTTTTAAAGCAACCTTTAACTCTAGTTTGGAGATATTTAACACAGATCCTAATATGAGAGCTGATTATCACAATCTTGAAGCAGTGCTGAATCTTACAGAAGTTTAACCTCCCCAAATGTATTGTATATGGTGCTTTTAAAGGCTACAACAAAACTGCTGAAAGTTTGTAAATGCTTTATAGAGGCTTAATTTACACACTGGCCTTATACTGTACATGTTAAAGCCCATATGTTCGAGGCCTAACTGACTGGATGAAGGCCGGCAGCTATGCAGTCCCCCAAGTGTAGTAAAGGAAGAAATTTGTGAGGTGATGCTTGTTCAGCCTGGTCATTCAGATGATAGACTGGAAGCTAAATCAGTTATAATAAATACACATATAAGAGCGAGTTTGTGGTGTCCTAATTACAGCACAGCTTATTTTTTGGTCTTTTAGGCTCTAAGTTCAGAGTTGGCTCAAGCTAGAGATGAAACCAAGAAAACTCAGAATGACGTCCTTCATGCGGAAAACGTGAAAGCCGGCCGTGATAAGTACAAGACTCTTCGCCAGATCAGACAAGGAAACACCAAACAGCGTATCGATGAGTTTGAAGCAATGTGAGGACACTTCATTGCTATACATTCTACACAATGCTGAATCACTAACCTAGAAAGTAGGCCTTTGCAGACACCGACAACGGAGCATGCCCCCCCTTGCCAAAGCACTTGTACCAGTCAGACTGTGGAGGATAGAATTCAACAAGGCGATCGGAATGGGTTTTATCTCCATGTCTTGTCTAATTACGTTTGTAACACCATATCAATGTAATTCATTTAGCTTGTCTTTTGTTTTTCTGAAAAAAATGTTAGCTGTTAGCTCATAAAGCTTTCACGGTTTGAATTCTGAAAGGACATTTAAATATTAAGCTTAGAACTGACGTTACTGTGTAGAAATGGACATTTTTTTGTTACTTCATAATGTGGAATTATTTGTAATGTTATGCCCTGTTGGAATCTTCTTGTTCTCCTTTTCTTTTACATTTCTAGTATGCCTAGAGCCAGGGCATTTGTAGGGTTGGCGAAAGGATTTCCTGACATGTGCTAGCAATAACTAGGCATTAAGACGTATCTTGTATGAGGAGAACATATAAACCTTAGTGTTAGGGATTGGGCTGAATACTACTACTACCTCACAAACACATGATGACTGGTCCTTGTCATTACCAACGACATGATTTATTCACTAAGATTTACCCTAGTTTGAGGTTTTGTTTTTTTAATATATATATTTCTATTTTTTTTTCTTTATTGCTTTTCACCATTAAGCTGTCTATATTAGTTTGTAAGTCATCACTTCTATTATTTTATAGGAGATAAATAACCATACTAACATTGAAGACATGACAAGCACTATTTACAGTCTGTTACTTGTGTACATTTCTGTTACACTCCTAAATGATTCTCATCACAGAGGCTGGAGGTATCTTTTGGAGACTTGTAATCCATAAGCTTACTTAGTTAATATTTTCTGTTGTGTTCCTCTGCCTCCATTAAATTGTCTGCTTGCTTGGACTGACTGGACCCTGGCTGCAGATTCGGTCTCTGCTGCTGCTCAGGATGCCAGCCAGAAGAACTCCCTATAGAAAAATATGGAGAACTCAGCTGGTGACAACATTGGAAGGAAAGGAGCACACATTAATGGGGTCCATAATGGCAGTAGTGACCCAATAAGGGCTCCAAACCCACATGGGGTAACCAAACATCACCCAGAATGTAGAAATCTGGGTGGAGTGATTCATTAATTATGTCCATACGACAGAGCTCAAGAATTGGGCATGATTTATAAAACTGAAGAAAAAGAGGTCAGGAAGTGTTGACCACGGCATTCAATCCAACAGACTTTTTTCAGGTGAGAATATTATTGCTCATGATGGCTTGCCTTTTATCTGGGATACCCATAATGTTCTAAGATGGGTCTAAGTAGCCCTCAACTGACAATTGGATGCTAGGTTTTTCAGCCAGTCATTGGCTACATTTTCTGTTGTGTTTTTTTTTTTTTTGTGAATTCATTCAGATTGATAGCTGTAAAGTTAGTAGTACAGAAAACGTTTTGATGAAATGCTAAGCTGCTTTATGATGGTATTATGATGTGTAAATTAAAAGACACATTTAAGTGCATTGGTCTTTGATATACAGTGGAAGAAGCTATGCCATTTTTGTTCTGTTGGCCACTAGCAACCAACAATAGAATGTCTGCACCCTTCAAGCTGTTGGTTGCCTGTAGTCCAGTCCACCTGCTAGTTGCTTCCACAGTCAAAGTAAAACAGGTACACTTGAAAAACGTATAGTGACATCGCTACACAAATGGGGTCTCTTCAAAAGTGCATTTAGTGTAAACTCAAAATTATTTTTGGGTGAATTGTTCAGCAGGCAATAGTATTTGTTGCCTGTTTAAACTATTTTGAGTTTTGGCCTGATTAGTGCCAGGCCCGTTAGCCATGCAGTTACTTAATGCAGCTTCTGCTTTGCGCTGTCTCAATTTTTCCCTTTATTTGACAACATGGAGTGTTCGATTTGCAATAGATGTGTGTTTCAAAAAAAGTGTACGTTTCTAATGTATTCACCTGTATTATGTTTATATGTAAAACAAAGAGGTATGCAAGTGGAAAGCATAGTGTTGACTTAGGAAAGAGTTATCTGCAATGTTGCAGTTTCTTTCTGAACATTTCAGTTTCCAAAAGGAAAGACACTTAAAAGTTCAATCTCCTGCCAAACCCATAAATCGCTAGCTCTGAGTGAATAATGACTGGTGTGGCAGTCCAACCGGGGGCTTAAGTTCAGCCTGTGAGTGGAAGTAAGTTGTCTGTATCATTTGGCCAGCACTGTTTGCTCAAGTGTAAACATCCTCAATTCTGATTGCATACTTGAAGTACTTAAGGAGAGGCTAAAAATCCTAGATGCCTGGCTGTTATACTGGCCCAATCGCTTCATGTACATTCTGACCTAGAATATGCATACACATCAATATTGCTGGGGAGAGGTTGGGCATCCTTTTGGCCTGCTCACTCTATGGCAGTGACTCTCATTCTACATAGCAAAAGAGTCAGCATAGCAACCAGGCAACTGGCATTTTCACCAAGAAGACAGCAGTGACAGCCTCTGTGTTTTCTTGGACACGTTGGCTTTAAAGTTCAGTTGAAGTCTTGGTGTTTACTACTGTAATGCAGTCAGGCTGCCTATAAAGTAGTAGCAGTTTTGTTTTAATTAGAAAGTAATGCCGCGAAGGGTTAAAGTAGCCTGTCCTAGCAGCATACTGGAGAACTGGTCTGCTGCTGTTACACACAATTCAGCCTTCCCGACATCCCCCCCCCGCACAGTGCTCCAATCAACAGCTCTACTAACGAAGCATGACCGCTTGATCACTGTGGGGGGCTTGTCAAACTGCTGGAACCCTGGGCTGCTGCATGACCGTAATAATGACAAAGCTTCAGTTGGGTTTTAAAGTGGTTTTCCACCCCAGAACTTGCAGGCCTGTGCAGTAGAGGTCTTATTTAGACCCCAGCAATCAGCTAACTGCAGCCTTCTAGAGCGGACGTAGTGCTTCTAGAGCTCTATGGCTGCTTGGTCTCCTTCATTTATAACTACTCTGCAAGTGGAGGCATTTCAGTCTTTATTGGTAAAGGTGGAAGACCCTTTGTGACACTATATACCTTGGTTTTAATTGGAGATCGTTTCACGAATGGAACTACATAGTTGTAGATCCCACGGAAAGAATGTATTCAGTTCTTTCATAACACTGTGTCTTCTCCATGCAGCTAAAGGATACGGAGACAGCAACCACTTCAGGACCTTAAAGTGACACTAAACTCAGGAGTTAAATCTTACAAATACATTCAAGTACCTTAATAACAAAAATATATCTTATGTGTGTATCACTCGGCTGTAGATCCTCAAATCATTTCTGAATTGGTGCTGACACTGTCCTTCCTTCTGGAGGGAGGCTACTTTTGTTCCCCATGGTGTTGTAAAGTAGACACTGCTCTAAGCTCGCTCCTGTGATGGACTACAATCTCAATACAAATTGATAAACTGAACCTGACATTGTAGTCCATCACAGGAGCAAGCTTGGTGCGGTGTCTACTTTACAACACCATGGGGAAAAAAAGAAAAGACTGTCACTATGAATTCAGAGATGATTTGAGAAACTACAGCTGAGTGATACACATAAAAGATACATTTTTGTTAATAGTTAAGTAACTTGAACTCCTTTTTTAAGATTTAGCTACTGAGTTTAGTGTCACTTTAATGCAAATAAGCATTGTTAGTAGTTGAAAAAGGTCCCTGACATGCATATCTAACTAGCAAACACATGCCAACATGTGCTTCTAACATCTACATTGAAAGATAGCTGGGGTTCCCTAGTTGTCTATTATATGTTGGTCACTATTCACCAGAATCATATCAGTGCTGGGTTTATGGAAGATCTCATAGCTCTGCATTGTGTGACTGAGTCTGTGATGAGCACGCTTCCATATTTTAGGAGGAGGAATAGGAAACTGAAATCTTTTTTTTTTTAGGGAGTTTAATATACACTTGAGTCGCAACTGAAAAGGGAATTTGCCAGACATTTGTTTGGGTATTGCAGATGTATCTTGATCATTGATCTTGCTGAGGACCAAAGGACTTAGGATGCTCTGAGAGCAGCAAGCTTGATATTGCAGTTCTATCTAGCGATGTAACGGTTAATGCCAAGTACGTAATGCGTCCTTTGTCAGATGCCCTAGCGATTATCACAGACACACAGTGGTTCTATAGCTTTCTGCATCTTTCTCTTTCTGGAAGAGGAATGAACATTTAATTGAGATGCTCTAAACACTGTGTACCAATATATTGCGCATATTGATCACTTAAAAGCCATGGAAAGGCAAAAAAGCGTCATTTCATTAAATTTCAGTCTATTTTTCCCATATCTCTTTTTTGTTGTACATTAAAGCTGCAGTTACAACTATTTTCCACCAGGTTGTTTAACAATAAAGATATATTGGACATTTAACATGGCTTTTGTATTTGGTGTGTTTGGGATTTCAGTCATTGCAAGATATTCAATATGTTAAATACAGTTACAAGAACCTTTTGGACACACATATGGACATTCTTGGACATTGGGATGATGCATCTGTATCAGGCCCCAGTGCTCAGAAAAGTCGATCCAGCACTCATACACAATGGACCTGAAATCACCAGTTGCATGGCAACATAGGGATTGTGTAGTAGCAGGAAACATATGCCAACACCCCAAATATATGCAGTTTGCTTGAAGCTTTACTGTGTCATGATAAAAAAAAGCCAAGGCAAAGTCATTTCACCTCGGCAAAGGGGTCCCACATAACCCCAAAACATTGCCCTTTTATTTCACGACTCAGTAAAATGTATGGCTTTCTGCATGTATTTGGAGTGCCGTCATATCTTTCCTATTTACAATTGTGCATTTCTGGTGTATTTGAATGCATGTGAAACTGCACAAGGCATTAGTGAGATCTGTTGTAGGAACTGCATAAGGAAAATGCAGAGATGTAACTAACTATGGTCAGTGAATATAATGGTACAGGTTTGATCAAGTTCTTAGCATGCAGTTTCACATGAATTTAAAGATGAACTGAGAGCTGACCAAAAAAATGAAGTGTGGATGTCTGACCCCCTCATATTTGCAGGATTTAATTGCTCATTTAGTCTAGGGGAGGTTGGAATATAGAGTATAGTTGGCTTGCTCCACAGTTCCAAAGGCTTACTTCTCTCCGGATCTGCTAGTGAAGCCACTCAACTTCTTTTGTCGTGCCTCCTCACTTCTCACTGTCACCATGTACATTGCAGGACCACGACCACTGATGGGTACACGCACATTCAATATTTTTTAATCAGACCCGATTATAGCTTAACAATAATATTCCAGGAAGCAGGTGCACACTACCCGTGAGCTACTACCGTATATACTCGAGTATAAGCCGCCCCGAATATAAGCCGAGGTACCTAATTTAAGTTAGCTACTTCAAGTAAGCAATGTGCTGGGCTGCTTTTTAATTAACAGTCAAGTCTTTTTGAAGAATCATACTACTGCTGTAGCTGTGTTTTGTGACATGTAAGAACATTATTCATACAGTCTAGTAAAATTACTGAGGGTCCACTTTAAGTTGATATAATAGCACAATGTAAAGGTTCTCTTTTATCTAGACTTACAGTATACCTAATAGTTACATAATTATATGCATAGTAATCCTGTATGTGGCTGGAGAAGGATTTCTAACAAACATTGCATCTCTGTGTGATCGCATCAACCCCAGCAACACACTAACAGGGCTATTCACAAAAGGGTGAAGAGGCTGGAGAAGGGAGGAGTGATCAACCTAGGCCAAAATAGCTGATTTGGAATTATTCTCCAGTTCAGCTCACTTTCCAGTTCAGCTATGTTGTACTAGATTGTTCACTTCTGCCTTCTCCAAACTCTTCACCGTTTAGTGAATAACCCTGTAAGACAGA